GCACTGGATAGCTGGCCAATCACAACGCACTGGATAGCTGGCCAATCACAACGCACTGGATAGCTGGCCAATCACAGAACACCTCGCATTTCAGACCGATGAGCTTTGTAAAAATCGACACGTTTCAGAAAGGCGGGGCATAGAGGAGAAACAATAATGTACAGTATGTGGAAAACAATTTGTTTTTTGAACCTTAAACCGCATAAACACATTTCATTACACCAAATACACAAAATAATGTTCTTTTTAGCAACACCATATGACCCCTTAAATATGATGGTTTCATTTTAAACATGGTGATTATCTCTAATATGGACACCCAACATAATATGATATTTACCATCTGAATCTAACCATGTCATGTCAACAAATGGAAAAGTCAGCCATCTATTAATTATCATGTTAATTACTGTGCACCTTTAGACCCAACAGCAGTGCCTTTAGCCCCATTTTACCCTATGTATATACTTTATTTTCTAGGCTGCCTAAAATAAATCAGCTGAGTGCACGGAATTCACTAGTATATGTGATACAAGTCCTACCTTACATTGGTGTGTCTCTGTACGTAGAGGTTGTGGAAGTTGTTGGCGTTTTCCGCCTGCCCAAAGTTAGGCCCCTTCAGTCTCTGAATGATCTCTGCCTTCATCACCCTCGCAATGTGGGCGGGCAGCAGGGACAGCAAAAGACGCTCCTATTTGTTGAAAAGAGAGGCTAATCAGCATATTAGAAAGATTTCTGAGGGATCATGTGACACTGAAGACTGGAGTAATGATGCTGAAAATTCAGCTTTGCATCACAGAATAAATTACATTTTAAAGTATATTCAAATATTTTAAACTGTAATAATATTTCACAATATTATTGTTTTAGTGTATTTGTATTCAAATAAATGCAGTGAGTATAAGAGACTCTTTTAAAAATATTACACACACACATATACATAGTGACATCGAAAACTCGGGAGACTCGTGAGGATCCATATGCAGAGGGTTTTAACGGGGCAGACCAAGCAGAGTCAACACATTCCTACACAAAACAGCCAAGTAAATCTGAGCAGACAAGTCCAAATTGACAGCCGGAGGCGAAAACGGGTAAACAGCAAATGTTCCAACACAGGCAGAAATAAACAGAGGTAAATGCTCAGAATTGTCAACGAGAACGATGAACAAGACTTTAAATACACAATCTGATGTTGTAGCGGAACAGGTGAGGGCAGAACTGGGCGTTAATATTCATGAGATGTGTTGGGAGGGAGCAGCAGGTGTGAGAGCGGACTGTAATATACAATACTGTATATTGTATATATAATATTTTTTATTTAGTACTGACCGGAATAAGAAATTTCACATAAAAGACATTTAGTCTACAAGAGATAACAATAGTTGAATTTATAAAGTTGACCCTGTTACCTGGATGATCCAAAGCCTTTTTTTTTTTGTGATGGTTGTTCATGAATCCATTGTTTGTCCTGAACAGTTAAACTGCCAGCTGTTCTTCAGAAAGATCCTTCAGGTCCCACAAAATTCTTTGGTTTTCCAGCATCCTTTCCAACAATGACTGTATGATTTAGAGATCCATCTTTTCACACTGAGGACAACTGAGGGACTCATACCCATTACAAAAGGTTCAAATGCTCACTGATGCTCCATATGCATTAAGAGCCAGGAGTTGTAAACCTGAACATTGAATTTGAAGATAAGGATGAATTGAACTTATTTTGTCTTGAGGGAAACATGTAAGGATCTTCTGTAGTTTCTGAAGAGCAGTACTAAATGAAAAAAAAAAGACATTTAGGCAAAATAAGAAAAATGTACACATCTTCATTCTGTTCAAAAGTTTACACCCCTGGCTCTTGATGCATCGTTTTCCCTTCAGTGAGTGTTTGAACCTTTTGTAATAGTTGCATGTAAGTCCCTCAGTTCTCTTCAGTGTGAAAAGATGGATCTCTAAATCATACAGTCATTGTTGGAAAGGATGCTGGAAAACCAAAGAATTCTGTGGGACCTGAAGGATTTTTCTGAAGAACAGCTGACAGTTTAACTGTTCAGGACAAACAAGGGACTCATGAACAACTATCACAAAACAAACAAAAAAACAAACAGCTGGGGATCATCCAGGTAACAACACAGGATTAAGAATCAAGCGTACGTAAACTTTTGAAAATGGTCATTTTTATATATTCAAGTATTATTTTCTTTTGTGGACTATATGTAAACATCTTTTATGCGAAATATCTTATTCAGGGCCTATATATTCACAAATGGTGGATGGCTGGTAGAATGACAGACAGAAAACAAAATAAAGATAACCAAGGTGAATCATAGCAGTGTATCTAACAGATGTATCCTGTCTCTAATAAACTTAAAAAAAAAACAACCCTGATTGTAAAAGAGACATATGTGATTCAACTAAAGAACATATGTAGACGTTATTTGCTCAGATGCTGTTCTGAATTTAAATAGCTGAAATCTATGAAGCTTTACCCACCATGTATATCTTTTTAAACCATGTTAATTCTAGAGAGTTTATCAACCAGGCTGATTAAATGACCAATATTTGGCGTTTTTGTATATTTTTGGCATAAATCGAGAGCTGTGCACAGTTGGTTGATTAACAGAAGTGGTCAGCATGGTCCATGAAAAATGAACACGTTTTGTTATTTGAATTGTTGTGAATAAATTTTGTACTTTATCAGCCATCAGCTACCCTGTTCTTTAGATATCGCATTGGGTTTGACCATGTGGAATCCCATATTGGTCAACCACTAATTAAGTCCATTTTTAACCCTGGGTTAAGTAATGCATCAAACTGGAAAGAGGGTTGGCACAGGGTTACAGTGAACAAATAACCCAAAGAAAATTAAGAACAATGTGAAATATGGAACAGGATTGTGTTTTAGGTTTGAAAAGGTTAGGTTTTTTTATCCCGTCACTTTTCACCATTTCCTTTGCTTTGCTCTCACTGACCACCCTGCTTAATGATGGGGTGTGTGTCAAGTGCTGATTGTGACTTCAGGAAAAGAGGAGACATTATTTATACAAACTTTACCGTTGTACTCCGAAGATGTAAATGCTTTTAAATAACAGCCCATTAATGTATTATAATCAAAAATGAGACAAATCAAGGCAAGTTGTCCACACTAATGGCTGCATGTGCTGTGGTCTGAAAGAGTGATTGCTAAAGGAAATTATGTCATTAATCCATCTTGTATGGAGTGAATAATGTGCCGAAATTAAACAAACAAATCCAGTATTTTGTAAACAAACTTGGTCTGCTTTGCAAAGAAAAACTCGACTCGCAAACAAACAGAAAGCGATTTGCAAATACAAAGGTCAGAGTGAGTGAAATCGCAAGAGAAACGTATTGTGCTTTACAAATATAAATACATGAGCGTACATCATATTTCACAAATACAATCAATCCTAAGAATTGCATGTAACCTTTGAACAAATGCCAAATTTAGTGCATACAAATGCTGGTCTGTTTTGATTGTGAGACACTCGCCCTTTTATGCAATCTCTTGGCTTGATTTTCTCACAAATGTGTCCAGGCAGATTTTCTCACAAATGCAGTTGAGCAACTTCCTCTTCCAAAACAGCAGATGGCGCTATGGATGATTTTGCGGTAGTCTCCTGGGACAAGCGCTTAGTGTATCTATAATTAACCTTTCTGAGGTTTTCACAATGCCAAACCTACTTCAATATAAAAAATAAAAAATAAAATACATTAATTTAAAGATATGAATGTGACTGATCAGTGCAAAATCCAGCGCTGAAACACGTTTATGAAAATGAGCGTGAGCGGTGAGTGCTTATCCTGCACATTGCACATAACATGTGAATTAACAATTTACATAGACATACCATAAAAACTAATCCTGTGTGACTGAAACGCTTCAGATCGGGTGATTTTAGGTCAAGGTTTTTGCTGTCAGTCAATGGTGCCCCCTGGCGGTAGGGAATAGTAAGATGGCGGCTCGAACACTTCCGGCGGCTTTACCACCTGATGGCAGTTTAGAACGCAATGAGCAATCCAGTCATTATATAGAACAGTGGGTAAAACGCAACGTTCATCACTGTCACTTTTTAGTCAGCCGTCCAATCACAGTGGAGGATGGGCGGGACAAATTCCACACTGACCAACCGTCACACCCTCCTTGTATAACAGCAACAGACAACAACAAGAAGCACAACAACGGAACAAAATCATAAAAAAAATATAACTGCAAGCAGCAATTAAGGGGCCAAGCACAACAGAGGTAAAATTAAATGCTAAGGAGCTGTCTTTAATTACTTAGTAAAGACCAGGGTAGGATTGCACCAGCCATTCGTAAGTTCTTACTTAAATTAGAACATTAAGTCCACACTAGAGGGTTAGTAACCACTAGCTAGTTTGTAACTAAATCTATACATTATTTGGTTGCACCAGTTGTTCGTAAGGCAGGACGTAGGTAGTAGTTAGTAAGTTCTCCATAAAGTAAAGCGTAGTCACATAATATGACGTTTACCCTAAATCATCCAACGGAAACCGTCAAATACGCGAGCAGAACTTGTTTAAATGCTATGAATTTTAATTTATCCTTCATTCTAACTTCTTTTGCCTCACGTATACTAATGGAAACTTGTGTTTCCATTAGTATACGTGAGGCAAAAGAAGTTAGAATGAAGGATAAATTAAAATCCAGAGGCGCACTGTAGATGGGGTGATGAAGACGCGCTAAAAAAGAAACAAAGTATGTTTATTCACATATTGTACTCTCTCTTAATATGTACATGAGTGTAATGTCAGCAGCATCATATATGCCTATATGCCATATATGCAACTGGCCCCAGAGTTCTCCAACCCTGCTCCTGGAGAGCTACCTTCCTGCAGACTTAAGTTCCAACCCTGCTTCAACACACCTGTCTGTGATTAAGTAGCCCTGAACACCTTGATTAGCTGGTCCAGATGTGTTGGATTAGGGTTGAAGCTGAACTCTGCAGTATGGTAGCTCTCCAGGAGCAGGTTGGAGACCCCTGTTAAAGACATTTGTTGAAACAGAATTTTACTACACAACTCAAAATGGCCGACGCCCAAAAAGGCTGACAAGGCTGATTAGGTATCGTTCGATTCGGTATGCCGTTCAGAATCTACGGAGATCTAACAGCCAAACTGGTCAGAATTTATAAGCAGAAATGTAAAAAGTAATTGTTGTGCCGAAACTACTCATGTGCCCTCAGGTCATGCTTGTTATAACACATACCAAGTTTGGTCTAAATCTCCTAAAGCATTGCGAAGCTATAGCCTTTTTGGCTATGGAATGCTCTGAAGATGATCTGAGCCAATTTTGGCAGTAGCCTCTCACTGCAGAACACAAGATCCAGGGGGCGTGGTTGGATCCACATCTAGTGGGCGGAGATTGGTAGGTTTAGGGGTGGAGATGGGTGTGTTTAGGGATCAGGGGGTGGAGACGGGTAGGTTTAGGTATATGTAAGGTTGGAGGAGTTTGATCTGGATCGAACGATGCCCACTGGATCTTGTGTTCTGCAGTGAGGACCATCTCAATTTTGGTGAAAATTAGACAAACTGTCTAGGACGAGTTTGAAAAAGTAAAATTCAAAAGTGCGAAAAATCTTGACCCATAGACATTTAAATTTTGGAATGCATTCAACTCGGCATGAGCCAAGGAACCAGAGTAAAAAGTACTTTGCTTCTAGACCTTACAGTTCAAAAGTTATTAGCAGAAATATGAGTGCAAATTTGGCCTATTGGTGGTGCTGGAGAGTTTGAGATAGAGACTCCAAATTTGCTATGGTTAATAGAGACTGTCCTCTATCAGTGTGCCAAATTGGCTGGGCTGCCATTTTGGAGAATATCCGCTGAACGCAAGCAGCGTACACTCTTTTGTGTCAGCCGCGCCACACGGATGCTCTGTTTTCATTCAAATCAAAGAGTAAATACCATAGACTGTATAAAAACATGGACGTAGTGTCCGTGACGTCACCCGTAGATTTCCACCTGATTTCCACCTAGATTTCCAATCCACCTGTCACTCAAGTGGCCACGCCCTTAATTATGCAGAACTTTAAGGCTTATTATAATTTAAACGGATGAGTTATAAAAAAATTCACCCCCCTCACAGTTGTCATCAAGGGCAAAATTAGCTATATAGACCAAAATAATTTTTACATCAGGCTGTAAACATGTTTTTTTCTGCTGTAAAGTTGGGCATTTTAACATGGGGAGTCTATGGGATTGACTCCCTTTTGCAGCCAGCCTCTAGCGGCCAGTTGATGAATTACAGTTTAAGTCACTTCCTTGTTGGCTTCAGGAGAGAGAGCGGGAGGTTGCCGCTTGGTAAATACACATAGAAAATGTATCCTTGTGTCGCAGCTGACACAGAATTCAGCGGATATTCTCCAAAATGGCGCTACGGTGATGCGGAGAGTGATGCCCCTTGTTAGGGGCCAAGCACCTAAGGTGCTTAGGCACCTGTTGTATCCATTCGTTTTCTTCTTCTTCTTCTTCTTTTTCTGCTCTGGGAGTCTATGGCAGCCCATAGAATCACTTGTGGAAAATTAATGAAATTTGGTACAGGAAAGACACAGAGGAGACGAAAAGTCGTTATTTTTGTTTTCTTCGCTTACAAAAAGTATTCTCGTCGCTTCATAAAATTCAGATTGAACCACTGATGGCAAATGGACTATTCTGATGATGCTTTTCATTCTTTTCTGGACCTTGACAGTGTTATTTACTTGGCAGACAATGGGACAGTCACAAGCCTCCCGGTTTTCATCCAAAATATCTTAAATTGTGTTCCGAAGACGAACAAAGCTTTTACGGGTTTGGAATGACATGGGGGTAAGTGATTAATGACATAATTATATTTTGGGGTGGAGCATCCCTTTAACTTTCATCCTTTCAAAAGGTACAATTTAGGTACCAACATGTACTTTTAAAATACTGATATGTACCTTTAAAGTACTAGTAAATACTATTTAGTGGTAAAAAGGTACAAAGATGTACCTTTTAGGATAGTACCTTGTTTCTGAGAGTGTAAGCTGTCAAAGTTTACATTAACTTAAGATTTTTTTTTTTTTTTTACATTCACCAAATGTTTTGAATTAAAAAACATTAATATATTTGGGCCGGATACTTTTTTGCTGGTCTGTTTTGATTGTGAGACACTCGCCCTTTTATGCAATCTCTTGGCTTGATTTTCTCACAAATGCAGTTGAGCAACTTCCTCTTTTTCTTTTTTGAAAGAAATTAATACATTTATTTAGCAAGGACACATTAAACACTAATAATGACTCAGTATACTCAGTACACTTACAGTATAATGTTACAAAACATTTCTAAGATTTCTATTTTAAATGCAAATACAAAAATGTTTTCCAAAAAAAAATGTTAATCAGCACAACTGTTTTCAGCATTGATTATAATAAGAAATCTTTCTTGAGCAGCAGATCAGCATATTAGAATGATTTCTGAAGGATCATGTGACACTGAAGACTGGAGTAATGATGCTGAAATTCAGCTTTGCAATCACCGGAATAAATTACATTTGAAAATATTTTCAAACAGAAATCATCTGTTTTAAATTCTAGAAATATTTTACAATATTACAGTTTTACTTTATTTTTAATAAAATAAATGCTGCCTTGGTGAGCATAAGAGACTTCTTTCAAAAACATTTTAAAAAATATATATATATACTGTATATTTAAAAATAAATATTTATGGTATCATTCATATAACACAGAGTAACAATTCGGTTTAGGGGTTTGCAAATCCTGTGCTGTGCTTTTTCAAACCTGAACTCTTTTCATCACAAAATATATTTTTAAAGGTAATATTTAATTTACCCTTCAAATGTAAAATGAGGCATATCCGTAACTAGGCTGACGGTCTGTGCTGAACTACTGTTCTGATTGGAATGACCAGCCAGCGTGCAGCCCTGCAGGAACTAAATGAAGGAAACGTGCCAGCATGTTTTACAATATGTCAAGAACCTCACAGCACACACAACATACATACACGATTCAATCACACCGAGCAGTGAGTGAGTGAAGCATTGTCTTTGCCCTGTGCTCCGTAATTGTTCTGCCAGGAAAGCCAAAAAAAACAACAACTTTGATAACATTCATAGAGTAATGGAGCCGAGGGCATGTGCTCGAGCAGGGTGATATTTCATCGAGTGAGAGTGATAACTCCTGATGGAGCGGAAGTGCCGCCAGTGATCTGCCTTTATCTCACCGCTCATATTTCACTCACTCAGCCATCGCCACGGAGATACACTTTATCATTATTTCACACAAAACAGCAATAAGCACAACTAACCCAGGCAAGCAAGAGGCCTTGTACAGACTTCCGCCCCACCCGTATCCAACAGGAAGCACAGCGCTGGGGGGAAACAAAGATATTTTGGGACAATGTAACTCTCGGCCCCCTCTGCCTTCGGATATTAGCCTCCTATTGTGGTGATATAATGATCTCTTCGATACAGCTGCAGGAATGACTCACGCTCAAGCCTATCCGATACCTCCCCAAACGAGGCCTACATTAACTTCCTGTTCCCTGAAGGACCGGGCACCACGCAGTTCAGCGCTGTTTATCCGTTCTTTGAAAGCAACAGGCAATCAGTGGATCCCTCTCGGTCGTACCTGCTGATGCTTCTCGAATTCCAGTTTGATGGGAGACTTGATGCAGTTGCAGGTGTCGTGGTAGGTCTGTTTGAGAGCCAGATCCATCAGGTGTTTGTGATAGGCTCCCGCCACATTTCCACAGATGAAGATGATGATGTTAGCCAGGATCTACACACACACATAAAACAGCTTTAGACAGAGGCATATAGAGATACTGTACGCTCTGAATGTCGCAAAAACAACTATATAGATTAAATGAAATATGATTATATTAAATTATATATATATATATACTGTATATATATAAATACAATGAAAGAAATTTATATTTTTATTCAACAAGGATGCATTAAATTGATCAAAAGTGACAACAAAGAAGTTTATATTGTTACTAAAGATTTTTATTTCAAATAAATGCCGTTCTTTTTTCTATTCATCAAAAAATCCTGCAAAAATTCACAAAATGATTTAATATTAGATCAACTCTTTTCAACACCGATAACATTGATAATGATTTCTGAAAGATGAAGACTGGAGTAATGATGCTGAAAATTCAGCTTTGCATCACAGGAATAAATTACATTTTAAAATCTGAAATAGTTCTTCTAAATTGTAATAATTTTTCACAATATTACTTTTTTTTTACTGTAGTGTGTGTGTATATATTAACGACACGCACACACACAATTTCCTTTTTTTTTGTTGATTTATGATATACAGATTACGAGATATAATATTGTTTACATTCAATATGTCAATATTATTATCATCAATATTATCATAAATTTAACAAAACAGGCGACCACAATAACATTTCTCTGAAAAATTATCACACAGTGTCAACTGTAATCATATTGTTTCAAACATGTTATTGAAATAAAAATGTAAATAAATAATTTAAATAATAATTTGATAGTACAGTAATAAAAAGGGGTGTGTGATAAATTTGTTATGAAAATAATGCAACAATGCAATAAATTATTTTATGTTTATTGCTAACTTTTATTTTATGTAAATATGTTACATTTCTTTTGATTTCGGGGTGAAAATAAACCTTAATTGATAACTAAATTAAATTCAATAATAAAGTTCTCAGAAACCTTAATTCCAAGCAAGTGTTTATAAATGATCAGACTGGTAATGGATATGTTTAGTACTGAATTAATGTGTAATCAATACAGCATTGGCATACAGAATAAAACAAGTAATGAATGCACTTAATTGCCTCGTAGGTACTATATTTATATTTAGGCTTTTTATTTTTATTTAAGTTTTAGTTTGAGTAATTTTGCTACTTCAATGTAAATTCATTTTTATTTACAGATGTTATAAATGTATTTGTACTATCTATCTATCTATCTATCTATCTATCTATCTATCTATCTATCTATCTATCTATCTATCTATCTATCTATCTATCTATCTATCTATCTATCTATCTATCTATCTATCATCTCTCTCTCTGTGTCTGTCTGTCTGTCTGTCTGTCTGTCTATCTATCTATCTATCTATCTATCTATCTGTCTATCTGTCTATCTGTCTGTCATCTATCTATCTATCTGTCTGTCTATCTATCTATCTATCTATCTATCTATCTATCTATCTATCTATCTATCTGTCTGTCTGTTTGTCTGTCTGTCTGTCTGTCATCTATCTATCTATCTGTCTGTCTGTCTGTCTGTCTGTCTGTCTGTCTATCTGTCTGTCTATCTATCTATATGAAAATGGCATTTTTACAATATGTCATGTATACAACATGTGATACAATTAAACACAATTAAATAATATTTTCACACATTTTGGAAAATGTTACAAATTTACAGCTTGATTGGAAATGGCACCGCTCACAAGTGATATTAACCAAATTCAGCATGTTGTCTCTCTCTCTCTCTCTCTCTCTCTCTTCAAGCATATGCTATTTAAGGACTGGTCCACCTGCCATGAGACACACCTGTATCTCACTGGGAGAGCTTTATAGGACAGGTCCTTCGAGAGCGGCCTCAAAAAGTAATTCTTCTGGCTGTAATCACTGAGCGGGAGGAAGAGTGCAGTCATAAAAGTAAACGAGCACAGAGCTGGGTCTGCGGGGAACCATAGCATAATTACAAAACACTGGCATCTGACATCATCTCTACAACTCTGACCCAGACAGATGTGACCCTGTTTTCAACTTTGTTATTTTTTTAGCCTCTGATTAACACAAGACCTTCGTTTGCCGAGTACGTCAGCGGTAAATGTCCTGAAAGTGACGTACGAAGCCTTTAAAGCCTCTAACAAACAAGGCATGGCCCACAGCTCTCGAGAGCACCTAACATAAAGAGGTCGTAACGCTTCTAATGAGAGCGCGGAAAGCTTGATTAACTGAGAGTGCTGAATGTGAAGGGTCGTTATCGTTAAGGTTGGTTTTAATGAAGCTCTATACTGTTGGAGAACAGTGTAGAGGACTGACCGCGGTGAAAGTGTTTACCGTGCCTAAAGAGGATCATTTTTAAGGTTTTTAAATTGGACTGGACAACAAGCTTATAATAACAATCTACGCCCTTCCGCTACTGGGTTCTTGAACCTAATGCTGCTGCCTCTTGAACACAACCTGACAGCCAGTATTTTTGTGTTCCTGTGGACCATATGACTAGAGTGTTGCCTTGGTTACATGTGCTGTGTTTAGGTCTGGTCTTAAAAACATATCTGCTTGAGATCTGCTTAGGAAAATAATAAAAAAAAAAGGTTCTGGAAAATCAATAGAAAGGTAGGCATGAATTATTATTTAGAGTTATGTAAGACTCTTTAGTATAGTAACAGAACAAAAAGCAGTGCAAGGAAGTGCACTCTGTGTACCTGTCATGTATTTATGTAGGCTAGCTAAAGAGAGAGATATAGTGAAAATATATATAGGCGAGACTGGGGCAAGTTGTCACACCTTTTACTCCAGTGAATATTTCTCAGGAATGTTTCATATTTAAAGGTGAGCGTTTGCATAGACACATACCTTATAGTCTTGACTAAAAAAAAACTATTCTACATTTTCACCGTTATTGCCTAGGAAAGAAAGGTACAATTAATTAACACACGCTGACCTTTTGTGACAACAAAATTCCAATAGCTGGACATGCAGTCATGCTACATGAAGCAAGTTGTCATAATTGGAACCTGCTATTTATTGATTTGAGAAAACATTGTTTTTATTTTATTTATTTTTTTAATATGACATGCTAAATGAAGTTGGTTATTCACTTGTATTTCAGCAAAATTAACCAGTATAATAATTATAAAACACAATAATATATTAAAAACAGGAAAAAATGTCACATTTACATTTATTAATTTGGCAGACGCTTTTATCCAAAGCGACTTACAGTTGAGAAATAAACTGCACTTGTGAACTTTCATGATGCATTTTCAACGGGACACTTACAGTTTTTAAAACAGTGGTGTACAGAGCTTTATTTACACTTGTTTCCCCCTCATTACTTTGCACTTTAAAATACATGTCTAAATATAAGTTTAGTGGTTCATACTATTTGTAACAGACGACAGAATTTATTAATTGTGGTACTTCTAATTAAGAGATAAGAAGTAGTTGCAAATGCTTCACAAAATACACACACCTAAATGTGCAATACTTTATGTTCTACGACCAAATTAAGTGTAATATCTAATATAATTCTGCACTTTAAAGTTTTCCTCAAGTTCTGATCTTTGGCATTTTTCAGTCCTGTCGCTAACAAACGCTCTAGTAAGTTTTAGGCCGTTTCTCAATACCAAGTACTCAAAGTTTAGACTTGCGTCCTTGGTAGTTCAGACTTGGCAAGTTCGACTCGAGAGTGTAAACTCCTGAGGACGGGAGGACGCAAGTCCAGTAATTGTGCAAATGGAACAGCAGCGTACTTGATAACGTCACTCAGCTCGCCTTGGCTACTCCGGTTATCCTAACTGTTTGTATATTTACAATAAAACAGAAATATGATATCAAACACCAATGCCTCTTTTCGTTTTCATTTAAACATTAATAGTCACAAAAATGTGGCTGTTACTTTCATCACCTTTACTGTGTGTATACTTATAACAAAACGAAAAGTAAAATACAACCCTCTTTTCGTGTTCATTTTACAAATATAAAGCATATTAATATGCGGTTCAACCAATATGTACATATATAGTCTGATTATCTTAACTGTGTGTATAAAAAATATGAAATATGACATAAAACACAACCCTTCCTCTTTTTGTTAAATGTCAGTTTTAATGAACAATAATAGCCATTATACAAGTATAAGTATAAAGTACACTCTTAAAAATAAAGGTGCTTCAAAAGGTTCTTCAAGCGATGCCATAGAAGAACCATTTTTGGTTCCACAAAGAACCATTCAGTCAAAGGTTCTTTAAAGAACCATCTCTTTCTTAACTTTTTGTAATCTGAAGAACCTTCTTTCACCACAAAGAACCTTTTGTGAAACAGAAAGGTTCTTCAGATGTTAAAGGTTCTTTATGGAACCATTTAGACAAAAAGGTTCTTCTATGGCATCGTGAAGCACCTTTATTTTTAAGAGTGTAGCCTATGAGAGGCTTAAATACATAATAGGAAATAAAGACAAAAGCAAACAATTCAGTCAAACGGATGCTACATCAGCGCTGTACTATGGTAAAGTTAAATAAATATAAAAAGTTTTATGTGCTCACCCAAAACGATATGACCAGGAACAAATAATAGATTCATGAGACCTAACACTGCCTGTTAGATATACCTAAAACGAATTATATTTTATATTTAACCACTACAGAGACATCCGAGCTAGCAGCAAATGCCAGAATGACTAGCCGAGGTAAGGCTGCTCTCTGTGAGATGCATGAGCACTGAACGCCTGCTGATCGCCTGGAGCTCAAATCTCAGAAATCAGCGAAGCAAATTTTCAAATAGGCATCTATATCTATATCAATATCTTAATAAACAAACTGAAGATTTGAGTTTTAAACAACTACATTCTCATCTGAACAACTATCAAAACTGCATTTCATGACACAATAACAGCAGTATTTTGAAAATTAACGCTGGCTGGTTCGTGCGAAATGCATTGTGGGATACCTGGCTGCCTCAAGTTCGCACAAGTCACCTCTTGATGCATCCTCAATAAAAGGGGCAGAGCAAGAACACATCCGGGGATTTGAACTGTACTTGGCTAGATGTGAACTTTGAATTGGAACAGTACTTGGGTATTGACTTATGACATATCACAAGTCATTGTTTGAGAAACGGCTTTAGTTTGTGTTTTGCTGGCTCTTCTTTATCCACTGATCTCAGATTTTAAACTGAAAGCAAGTGGCATGGAGGCATTAAGTTTGTTTGCTAGCTGCTGCTGCCTCATAACTAAGTTGTTCATATTTTGTTTCATTCCTTTTCATGTATGTTTTTTTTTTTTTTTTCACTTGGACTGCTTGATCTGACATTTTATTTGTCCACTTAAACTCATTCTGCATTAAACATACTACATTTAGAAACAAATGAACTTAATTCAATATATATTCTCTGCCAACTCTCCATCCCAATACTACAGTGTTTAAAGAGAAGACGATCAGGACCAAATTACACTGGATGGATCATTTTTGCCCGTTATTTCTGAAAGGAAATGTGTCATTTAAGTGGGAAGGCCATATGATGAGCAAAACAGCCAGGCTGACAGTGGAGGATTCTGGGAAGTGTGCCCTCTCAAGACAGCAAAGCCATATATAGGTCATGGCGAAACACCATTACCCCTGACAACCCCTGCAGGAAACATCCTTCCACATTCACTCGCTCTCTCTGACTCACATTCTCGAACATATTCTCGTGCCTCCGACAACTTTTTATAGGAAAAACTCTTTGGTCTCTTTGTGTCATTCTGGTGCTCAAAGACTGTCGCTGTTTATTCTTAGATTCTAGCTGTTCCTTTCTCTGCCCACACGATTTCAGTGAACGAAATCAACTGGAATGGTACCCACACACGCACGCGCACACACACACACACACACACACACACACACACACACACATACACACACATTTACCTGCCAGACGAGGGCCTCCATGTGGCCCGTAGTGTTTGAGAGCCAGATGCTGAGCACTAGTGTGTGGGAGGATGAAGTGAGGACACTAGCGATGACGGCATCCCTCATGGAGAACGGCAGCATGGTGTACACCACAAACACAATAAACAGGAAAAACGACACCTGCAGACAGAGTTAAAGGTGCATTAGACTGCCATTTAACATCTACAGCTCACAAACATAGGACAGAGATCAGATCAAGATAAATGCTAAAATTCACTACATGACTTTCACCCAGATTTTTGCCCTGATTTACAGTTCAGATAAGTTGACGCTAGTTGCTGAAAGTCAAAATCAGTCTGCAGATTTGAGTTGACAGATTTCACAGAAATTTGCGTAGCGTATGATGGTCACAGACACATCAGGCTATGTGGTTTAGTGTATGATGCCCAGTTGTAACTATTTACAAAGTTGGCAAGTGCATGATGCCTAGTGTTTTACAATCCATTCAGATTTTCATATATTAGCAGATGCATAAATAATGCAATCACCAAACATTAAACAGCATATACTGTAAATCAAAACTGCCTAGCGTTACCGAATGAAATCGACCCAGGAAGTGGTATAGGACTGTGCAAGCTCTGGGGGTGCTGAAGGAAGCGATCTACTCCATCTGTGTTTTGATCATCATTCTGAATGTAGTCTTTGACAAAAAGCGCAGCTTTCTCAGCTTTTTGTTCACTCATCTGTCTTTCTTTTGACACATTGCATATTCAGATATTCATACAACACAATATTCTGGGGGCCATTACATTTTTGTGAAAGTGATCAAAAATGTTGATGGTGGCTGGCAACTTTCTTTAAAAATGCTGGCAGGGAAAGAGTTAAGTGATAAAAAGTAGTTGCAAATGTTTTAAAAAATACACACACTCATCTCTGCACCAATAAAAAGTTCAACACTTTTTACTGCACGTCTTGCATGATTTGGAAGGAAATGAAACACTAAAATGACATTGCTATGTTTCATTCCAGCATGAAAATTGTAGATTTAGGCATTTGGTAGGCTATTTCTTTGAAATTTGCTTCATCGAGTAACTGCATGGCGTTTTCATGACGATTCAAGACAAGCACTTCAAAAATTGAGCTGATACCATGATGAAACATGGGTCGTGAGTGTTGGTTTGCTTTCCTTCGCCCACAATGCTGAGAGAGTAACAGGCTCTCAATCAATGCTGACAATTTGACATGTTTGTGCACAAAGGCCTTTATTACAGGAGAGTTTTACAATTCATGTTGAGGTGGAATGGAGCTCATTCTGACACCGACAGTCTCGCAAACGCCAACCATCCTTAACCAATCAACCACTCAACATCAATAATGGACTCAAATATGCAAAATCATCCGTGTATATTTGTGTAATGTATTTTTTTTGTACATTTTGTAATGTATTTATATAATATACTTGTGCTCTGGCTCGGCTGTCCAATATAGTATACATTTTTAAAGTGATTTTTATGTAATACATTTTTCACCCTGCAACCTGTCGTAACAGCCTGTTTACAAAGCAATCTTGCTGCACAAAATGTGCTGCTCAAACTGTTCATACTAAAATGATCAGGGACACTGTTAAAAATAAACTTCAGCCACTTTTTCCTAACACTGGGATCCTTTAGAATAATATAAAGAAGGCTGGAGCTACACTCAGCCAGAAGCAGCACAGGGTTTGGCAAACTTTCACAACATTTTACTCTTATCATTGGTTTATGTGGTGTGCAGGAAAAAAATATCTATCCTGCTTTTATCTTATTATCTCAGGTTTTTGATCATCCAATATTCCTCATTGACGTAATAAATGTGGGAGCTCCTGAGCTGATGCATTCATCATCAGAAAGTTACGTACATTCAGTTTAGTAAATGCACTTTTTTGACTGGAAATATAGAAAGGCTCTGGAAGTTTCAGTGTACATCAAGCTCTTTTATCTCAAAAGATCAAGGAATTTGTTTGAAATGTGATTTTCAGCTTTTACAAGAGGTGTAGCATACGCTGATAAATTAAATGAAGGTGAAGGAAAGTTAATATAAAGAAAATAATATATAAAAAGAAAACGGGACATATGCTGCACTTGTTTATATATATTATTTAGGTCACACTTTAGTTTGGGGACTAATTCTCACTATAAACTAACTATTAACTACAACTTTTGCCTCAATAAACTACTAATTTGCTGTTTGTTAATAGTTAGTAAGGTAGTTGTTAAGTTTGGGAATGGGGTAGGATTAAGGGATCTAGAATATGGTCATGCAGAATAAGGCATTGATATGTGCTTTATAAGTACTAATAAACAGTCATATGCTAGTAATATGCCTGCTAATAAGCAACTGGTTAATAGTGAGAATTGGTGCTTAAAATAGTGTTACCATTATGTTATAGTTACTTAGCTGTTGCTACCTTACTTTTAATACTTCTGAAATAACATCTGTTATCATTGGTTAATCTGTGTGCTAACATATGCAGACATTTATCAGGATAGCAAAGTTGCTAAATACCGAATGAATATTAATATGCAGGAACGTTGCTAAGGGGGGAAGCAATCAATTGTACAAGAGGGCCATAAAACCTAGCGATGCCACTGCCCACATTTACCCCTTCTTTCTTCAGTTTCTTTCTTCTGTTAAACACAAAAGAAGAATCTTGAAGAACGTGGTAGTTGACGGTAGCCATTGACATCCATAGTATTTTTTTCCATTCTATGGAAGTCAATGGCTACCGTCAACATTTTTAATACCAACATTCTTCAAAATATCTTATTTTGTATTCAGCAGCTGAAAGAAACTCATACAGGTTTGGAATGACATGAGGATGAGTAAATGACAGAATTAAAATTTTTGGGTAAACTATCTCTTTAATATGTAAATGAGGGCAGTATTTTTTGAAAATGTTTTGCACTACCAACATTCATATATTTCAAAAGAACAAGAAAAATTCAGTTTTTCACAATATGTCCCCTTTAAATGATCTGTAGTTTTTGAGTTAGTGCCAAACTGCAGGTTTCAGCAGGTTTTTAACGCTTGAACGATGTAATATGTTCATAAATATTCCAAAACTTATGTTTTATATTTTCTTACACTGAGTGCTGTTTTTTTGTGAGCGAGGGCTCAATATAGCACTGGAGGAATGACAGAGAGGGCACTGGACGGCAGCAAAGCCTAATGGATTTCTGGCTTGGTCAGCCTCACAGACCACACACACGCACACAGCCAAAAAACAAACAGATTGCAGGGCAGTGATTTTTCCAGACACAACATGTCTTGAGCCTTATCGATCGCCATTTCCACTCTGTGGCACTCTCTCGCAGAAGAGGATCAGAGAAGCCGTCAGGAATGGTTACATTTGGCTTGTGAAGGAGAGAGAATCCCCTAGCAGACAGAACGCTCCGCTGGGCTCCGAGCCGAGGGGCGTCTCGCACTTTCACCCCGGAGTGGACAGACAGTTTGTGTTTTCGCTAAAGTTTTGAAGCGTCAGAGTTCAAGAATTGGCAAGGTTAGATGCTTAATCTCTTAAATGAACTGATTGCTTGCCAGATCCATGCCTGCTTAAAGTTCTGGTCTATCTGCTAGCAGGATTAAGACCAGCAGTTCAATTCGGTGGTCTTATTCTACATCAGACCAGGTTATACGGCACTGAATCCTAAATATTCTCTCTTTGGCCTCTGGCTCCCAGTACATGTATGGGAACTAGAGCAATCAAGCATGATACAGCATTAAACTGACAGATCAAGTGAAAATATAAACAGTTAAAAGGTGTAAATTACAATTTCATGGAGAAATAAACACTGTAAACAAAAAATATTCAACTTAATATGGACATATTTCTTATTCATTCAACGTTATAGCACTTTGTAACAAAGTTTTCAAAATACTAAACATACTTCCAAATTTAAATTGGATTTTAAATGCCAGATTTTCGATGTGGACTCAGACATTTGGATGTCACAGTATCTTTCCATATGGCTCTTGTTCTTCCAGCCAGTCTTTGTGATCATGACTTGTTGGGCTGAGAACAAATACAGTCACAGCTGGTTTGAGCTCTGTGAAACTCTCAGACCACATTTGGAGCGGTTTGCCGGTATTAATTGGGTTTGAATTATCACACACATGCAGTACCTGCCAATGAGATTTGCATTGAGGTTTTGACTGTATGTCACAGATTTCTCATTTGCACTAGATAGAAAAAAATGCTCAGCTGCCTAACGCAAAGCCAGGAATCCCAATATCATTAATCCAGTCTGATGATATTTTAAAATATTAACAAGTTTAATTATAATTTAGCTCATTATTAATGTGTCCCTGTAGAGAATCTGATTATTTGAGTTGATAAAAGATTTTATAATCATCTGGTGTGTCCAAATCTTTAAATACATTTTCAGCTGAACTATTCTTGGATTGAGGTTATTATAGTTAACTCAAACTAAAACCACTTGGAACTAACACTGTTACTTGGAATAAAATAAAATATTAAAGGGTCATATGATGCAATTTCAAGTTTTCCTTTCTCTTTGGAGTGTTACAAGCTGTTCGTGAATAGATAAGATCCCTAAAGTTGCAAAGACTAAAGTCTCAAACCCAAAGAGATATTCTTTATAAAAGTTAAGACTTGTCCACGCCCTCCTAAAACGCCTCGTTTAAACACGCCCCCACATGTCTACGTCACAATGTGGGAGGATTTGCATAACGCCGCCCAAATGTTCACGCAAAGAAAGAAGGCGTAACTTTATTGTTGCTGCCACCGCCATGTCGTGGAGTCACTGTGTGTTTCGTTGTGAAAGCGAAACTACTTTGTTTGGCTTTCCAAAAGAGGACACGACTAGAAATCAGTGGTTAAGTTGTATTTACAACACTGTTCCAGAACAGTTCAACCCAAATATTCAGATGTGTGCAGCGCATTTTACGTTACTATTATTATTTTTTTCAATTATAATGTGTATTTTACTTGTGTAATTTTCAGTGTTGGAACCAAAATTTACTACCAGAATTAACCTTAACGCATTAACTGCATTGATTCCTGACTGACAGCAGTGGCAGCTGGTGATTTTCAAATGTAGGGATGCACCTACCTGTCACCTGTCAACGACAAAATGTGTAGTCACATATATAATTTTTTTTATCATAGTGACTGTCTACAATGCTGCTAAAAGCGGCTTCCCACTTCTCACTACTTGCTTCCCACACCATCTTAGAGCAAGTGCCATTGATTTACACAAGAAGGCATTTTTCCTTTGCCCTCCTACTTTTTAAAAAAGTATTAAAAAAGTGACTCAAAATCTATTTTTCACCTGTCTGCCTCCTTCACTCTCTCATCACTTCATTAGTTCCCCATCATTCTTTTACATCCTTCATAAGGCATTCAATCAGCACCTCTGGAAACACCAAATTGTGGGAAATGAAGATAAGCAAGACTGTGTGTTTTTGTGGGTCTTTTCTTCTGATTTGCCCTCAGGCTGATTGGCGTAAGGTGAGTATGGCTGCCTTTTGTTCCTATGCTGACTCTGGGCTCAATTATGTTCTTTCTTCTCTACAACATACAAAGGCTGCTGGCTTTTCACGGGCGTCTCTAATGGAGAACTACTGCTGTTGGTTAATGATGCCTGCATTACAGACTTATGTGAGGAATAGTGAGGGCTTTTCATCTGCAGTAGTACCTTGACCCATGCTGGCGACTCTATAGTAGGGGACTCTATAGTTTTTCCTTGTAAGTGTTGCAAAGCGACTCCAAGTGTATAGCTTATTATAGCTCAAGCAATGTGGTCGTGTAGCTTGTTGCACCTCAAAGAACATAACCAGAGAGAAAACTGTACTAGGAGCACAGTGTGTAGCTTAAAAGCTACAGTAAAAACAGGAAATTAAATACGGCATAGCCTAATAGAGCTCCTTAAGTTTTCAACTATTGTAGACGTAGCTACTGTGCCATTCAATTCCACTAATAAGCGCACACATGCTACTTCAAGTCACATCCAGAAACATTCAGAAACTCTTTGCTAATTAGTACTTTGCTGCAGTATTCTGAGTGCTAATTAGGTGGTAGCTTATTCAGATCGCATGAACCCGACTAGTTCTTCCCGTCACGTATGCGAAGCCTTATTAGCAGGCTTATCTGAATTTCCTGCACCAGACACCTGGTTCCCTCTAGAGCTAAACCTTCGGTAACAGCTCGTGAACTCAGACTGCACTAAGCATATGGGAGTAAATTAGCATAGCCCAGTATCACGATTTTCTATACATTAATTGAATTGTGGCTCACCTAAATGTGGACCAATACATAACAGAGTGAAAGGTAATTTAGTTCCTTTAGCCCCTTTGTCTCTAAAACAGGCCACCCAGAAGAAACAAAACAAAACAAAGAAAAGCAAAGCAAAGCAAAGCAAAATCAATGAAACACAACGCAAAGCAAAGCCAAGTAAAACAGAGCAGAAAGTAATGAATAAATAAATAAAAGCAAAGCAACGAAACACCAAGCAAAATCCACGCCAAGCAAAACAGAGCAGAAAATAAAAAATATATAAATAAAAGCAAAGCAACTAAACGCAAAGCAAAGCAAAACAAAACAACAGAACAAACAATACAAAATAAAAGCAAAACAGAACAGAACAAAAAACCAAAGCAAAGCACAACAGAACCGAACAGGAAAATCAAAAGAAAGCAAAACAAAGAAAACTAAAATCAAAAGAAAGCAAAGCAAACTATAAGAAAACAAAAGCAAAACAGAACAAAAAAATAAAAATGAAAGCAAAGCAAAGAAAACAAAATAAAATTGCAAAAAAAAAAAAAAGATATTGAGGGAGCACGATCAAATAATGCAACTACAATTTTGGGCCATTCATTAATATGGTATTCATAACCTCACTTCTGGATCAAATTAGTGTCTAATCATCGTTATCCAAGGAAATGTAATAATATGCTTTTTCAGTTAAATGAAGTATAGAAAAACATGGAGTTACTTTAGAGTTTTGCTGTATTTTTATGGCTTTTCTAGTGCTTGGGAGGCTCAAAGTGTAGGTGACATAAGAACATTCATAGCTATTCTTAACCAACGATTGAAAGAAAAAGCACACGAGGCATGGTATACATCAGTTATAGAAAATAAAAAGTTAAATATATATTTTACAATACAAATCTTTCTTAGTCCAAAAAGCTACACTGCGTCTGTATATAACATGCAACTGGTACGATCATTGTTCCTTTTTAGATGTTCAAGTCATCATTTAGCTATAGAAACGGGCAGATGGAGTAATACATCAGTGGCAGAGAGAATCTGCAATTACTGTGTTAACATCAAATATTTCTGTGAGAGAAGTTGAGAAGCATTTCTTGTATGATTGCTCTTTGTATGTGGATTTGAGTAAGAAATATTTAGGTGATCTTGTTTCTTGTTGGTGATGTCTGTACTGATGTGTCAAGTGTTTGTGATTCGGAGTATGCATGGAGATTGCCATTGTATATATACCATAGAATGAAGAAAAGAGTATCTGCCATGTCATTGTGATCTTGTGGAACTATGGGCAGAGAGGCCATATATTCCTGAAAATAAACTGAACTACAAACTACCTCACTTCTGATGGTGACATCTCTCCAAGATAGTGGGCATATTAATTGTTTAAAATGGATGTCATGTAGGTGCCACCTAGCTTTTACTGAAGTAGTTCCTAGTGAAATGTTGCCACCCTTTGACCAAGAGCCAATTTGTGTCGTATATGCATATCTCATCATTTCCAGATCACTGAGCCCATCTGAGTTATTAAGTTATTAAGTCATGTCGAGCAAACAGCCTGGATGACTCACGGCGAGCTACATTTACTCGTGCACAGAACAGCCGATCTCTCCTCCTACAGCCAGCGTAATATCATAACTCAAGAGCTGTTTATAAAAGACGACCAAACCGTGGATGTTTTTGCCATCTTGTTGAGTGGTGGCTGGGCTGATTGCACCTCCTCCTCGCTAACAGAGCAGAGCGGGAAGAAGAAAAAACAAAGTGTGCGTACAAGCTAAGCAAGTCTGTTTAATACCTGATTTGTTTTATGGAAGCAGAGGCGAACAGAAATAGCGCCAACTGTCATAATTACTCTAAGACATGCATTTATGTTGAGACTGTGTCACAGTCATTAGCCAGAATCCTGCGTTAAGCAGAGTTCAATGGACTAATGAATGATTCAGTGCGCAGAACAGCTCGCACACTAAAATTCATGAATTACTGTGCAAATGACTGGAGGAAAATGACACCGCGTTAGTGAATATCTGCATGATTGTGCAGCGCTTTCATTGCGTCTGCTAGCGCTTTCCATCCGAGCAATTTACTTCAACATCTACATATATAAATCGCACTGACGCAAGTCATGTTTTATGCATGGCGTATACTTAATTCTGATCACTTCAGTATGATAAAAAGTTAAATTAGGAAGTGATAGCCATAGAGGTCACTGAAGAACGATTGCGGAGAGCGATGAAAGTGCTGTCACTCGAGTCTCACCTGGTCCCATGGACAGATGATCCCACCGAAGAACATGAAGAGGTAACCCATGGCAACCAGACAGCCCCAGACGAGCAGGGAGAAGAGGCGGAGAAGCTTTTTGAAGACCGACTCAATGCAGACGAGGATGAAGATGGCGAGAAAAATGGCCAGAGTTGTGGGCACAGTCATGATGAAGGCCATGTGCTCCTCCATGGTCTGTGGAAACACAATGACAGTTCACGGGTCATTCATTGATGCATTCGCTAGCTGATGAAGAAGATAACTGTCTATTGAGATGTGCTGGAAAAGAACAGACAAGGCACATTTAGAGCTGGATTTAATACAAAGAAGAACTGAAATATATATTCTTCTATGATCTTATGACAAAAACTCTGACCCTAACCTTATACTTTGAACCAGAGTTCAGTCCATTATGTCCAAACTTTTCCATTAGCATAATGTGCTCTGTCAAAGTGTATTTTGTGGGACAGTAGTGTTTTTACGGTTGAATTATTAATATGGACAATTAACATTTGAAAAACATTTTATATCGTTATATGGGGTTGGCGTTCATAAAATGTAATCAAATCAATTAATGTATATTGACGTCAACATGAAACAACATTTGCAACCAATTCACTTCCATTATGTGGCATATTTGAGTGAAACAGGATATGCAATGAAAAATGTGAACCGGATAAACTGATTCATTGTAAAGAAAAGCTTTGTGGTCATTTAAAATATTTTTGAAAGAAGTCTCTTAAGCTCACCAAGGATGTATTTATTTGATTAAAAAAATGCAGTAAAACAGTAACATTGTGAAATATTATTAGAATTTTAAATAACTATAAACTATTATAAATAATATATTTTAAAATAATATTAATTTATTCCTGTGATGGCAAAGCTGAAGTTCCAGCATCATTACTCCAGTCTTCAGTGTCACACGATCCTTCAGAAATCATTCTAATATGCAGATTTGCTGCTCAAGAAACATTTATTATTATTATCAAATTGTGACTGATTTAATGCATCCTTGTTAAACAAAAGCAGTAATTTCTTTCAAAAAATCTTGACCATTTTATGGTGCTTCTGTGTTGTTTTGGAGACTTGAACGTCTACAATAGTCTGTAGTAAATGTAACTGGAAAGGAGTGATCAGTACATTCTTTCAAATTTCTTCTTTTGTATCTCACGTTATGAAGTAGGTAATACTGATTTGGAATAAAAGATTGAGTAAATGATTTATTTCTGGTAGGACTATCCCTTTAAAAAAGGTAAATATGGTCAATTTAATTCCATGCTGACTTGAAAGAGGCAACCTGTGAGCTTTCATAAACTCTATTTCTACCTGTAGCTCTCATCACCATTCAGTAATTCTCTGTTTGACTGCAAGAGTGTGAGGGACTCAGTCTAGACTTACAGTCACACACTCACAGACTGTTCATCTACTACAGACGGAGACAGAAATAGACAGAGCCGCGGCAGGAGGGTACAGTCAGAGAAGAGAATTTTAATAACTACAATATAGCTACATTATCTATGCAGATTTATTGGAGATGACTCATGACATATGCCATGGAGGGTTGATTACGGTTTTAATTGAACAAAGACGACTTAATTCTCTGGCCATCCTTAAAGCTATTCAGCTAAAAAAAAAAAATTCACAGATTACAACCACATAATTCAATTCAGGTACTAATTATTTATTGAGGTGTGTGTGTGTGTGTGTGTGTGTGTGTGTGGCTTGTACGGGTGCTGTAGATGTGGCAAATGTGGTGTTGCACCATCGGTTCGGATGACTGTGTGTGTGTTTTGTGAATGATGAGAGAGCACTGAGCTGGTAAACTCACAGTAATATAATGCCAGTACCACAGTATGACTCACCAGCCATAAGAGGAGACACCCCAGGGAGTACTACAAATTCAAGGGAACTCTGGCACGCAGATCGATTCTCAATGAACTCTTGGGGAACACATCCTTTCAGTTTCCATTAGACATAGACAGACAAAGAAGGGCCCACACCTGCTTCACTTTTTTATGCACCGAAATAACTCAACATAGATTATAACTTGAAAATGAAAGAAAAAGTGATGCTTCATTGTGAAAAAGTTGCTGTCACAAAGCTAGGGAGTTCAGCGTGGTTGCTAGGGGATTGAAAGATGGTTGCTAAGACATTCTGGGTGATTGCTACAGGCTCACGTGCTGCAGGGAACATGTATTTTTGTAGGCCAAAACACAGAAGCGAGCTCACATTTTAGGTTTTTCGGATCCATTGTCATGAAGCCAATTGTTTTTTTGAATGGAATTTTGGTTAAATGTCTTAAATAATGTCTGTATTTTTACCTGTCTTGAAAAAGGCAGTTGCTAACAAGTGTCTAAATGTGACTACAGAGATTGTCATTAAACATCATCACACTGAATAGGTAAACTCATACTCGCTAGTCGCTTTCACAGCCTCACTGTTTATAATCACACTCTTGCAAACTATTCTAACTCAAACTTCCAGGGAAAATGTTATTAAAAAAGACTGAAAAAAATTGAAGGGAAGCGCTGGCATAGTTTGTTTAGCTTACATTTCTACTTACTAGTGTTCAAAATTCATATGTTGTGTTGTGAACAAAACATGTAAGAATCATACACTTTTGTTGGTCACAAAGCTTATTTTCTGCAATAATAAAATAAATAAATAAATAAAAATAAATAAATAAAGGAAAAATCCTATTGGGTTTTTGTTGAGGGAACCAAGGTGATGCCAACAAAGTAATTTTATTATGAGAAAATCACATTAAAACTGCATATGAAAACTTCATACCACACATTCATAATTTATTTTTTGTTACTTTTACTTTTGAGTAAGTTTTTTTTGTTTGCCTTGTCACAGACCCATATTTTTTTATCAAAAATGTTTAAAAGCCATCAATTAATTATTACATTTAAAACTATGATAAACTAAAATAATAATAATAATAATAATGTATTTTTTTTTTCATTTGTATACATTTTTCAAGAATTACAACAGATGTGGTGTAATTTTGAACACACTGAACACATGTACCCACATTTTTGGTCAAGTACTTCTTTAAAGGGATACTTCACCCAAAATATTCTCTCATCATTTACTCATCCTCATGGCATTTCAGATGTACAGTATATGTCTTTCTTTCTTCAGATGAACGCAAATATATTTAGAAAAATAATCCATCAATAATCCATGTGAGTTCACATAATGCCAGTGTACAAAGCAGACCCACAAAGCTGATGCTTCAAAAACAACACAAAGCGAACGCAATAGTAACCGATAGGTGTGTGTGAGAAAAATACTCATATTTTGAACCTTTTGAATGTACCATTGTTTCAAGCCAACTCTCATATGTGCATTTAAATGATTAGTATTTTTATCAGTAGTTCATCTACTGGGGTTTTATGAGTCATTCATTGTGTTCCCTTTGTGTTGCTTTTGAAGTGTCAGCTTTGGAGGTCCCATACACTTGCATTATATGGATTCACAGAGGTAGATTATTTGTCTAAAGATCTTCATTCGTGTTCATCTGAAGAAAGACATTCTGATCACATCTGAGACGGCATGAGGGTGAGTAAATGATGAGAGAATTTTCATTTTTGTGTGGAGATCCCTTTGACAAGAAGACAACATGCAGGAGATTTGAGATGTGATGTGTAAAGAACAAGAACAATCAAGGTAAATATCACTTGCGAACAGAATTGTGTATAATTTCCAATCAAGATGTAATTTTGTCAAATTATGACAAAATGTGAAAGTATTCATCATCAAAGCAAAAGAGTGTAATTTTATTCCAAAAATGTTTAAGGTGTCACATCCACCCTAGACATTTCTATCACAGAAAATAAAAAATATCATTTGAGATGTGGTTGAATGATTTTCAAAAACAAAACAAATCAACAATATAGACAGGATAATGATAATAATCTGTGTATCATTCGATCATTCGTTTTTTTATTTAATATTGAAAGTAGAAAAATTTGAAAACAGCTCCTTTTTTAGAAAACGAGAATTCAGATTAATTTTTTGTTTTTCGTTCATGGGTGGAAACATGAATAAACAGCTTGAATATTCGATTTCTACATGTGGGCGGGAATTAAATGCTCCTTTCTGCTGATTGGTCAGCCGAAGATCAAACCATGCCGTCATCACTTCTTCTGCAGTATCATGCAGCAGAATAATAGTCCTCCACTGCTGCAGTTGTATGGATTAATAACCCATTTTATTATATATAAAATAACATATTTTATTTTTCTCATCAAACAGACTAATGAATAGCTCGACACAACTCATACCGGGGCAGAGTCTAGACAGGTCTTTCTTCTGTGTAGACCAGCGGTTCTTAAAGTGATAGGGGGTCCGCGAAATAATTTGCTATAGCCTAAAGTATTTCCAGACTGTAAAGTTGCTTTTTTATCATGATACATAGGCCTACTGTGATTTATTCCAAAGTGACTTATATGATGCATTTAACGTCAAATAATCTAAATGTGGTTCATGTTTGTGGCATGTGCCGGAAAGATGCTCAAGGAGAAATCTTTATTTTTCAAAGGCAACGTAACGTTACACAAATAAAAATATAAATTTTTACCATACGACTATAAATGACAGAGTACTCACCTTAATGTTGTTCCAAAGGCTTATTACTTAATAACACAAAAATGTTCTGCTCGCACTTGCCAATTTAATGGCAGAGAATGGTGACTATAGGTTGTTTTTTTTAAGCGGATACATATCTGTCGTAAAATAATCCTATGCATCTGTGGCGTATATTCCAAGCATTCTGAAGGTATACTGAGGGTTTTGGTGAGAAACAAACCGAAATGGCAAGTTATTATATTTTATGAAAATCTTGCGTTGCAGTGCGCAGCAGCTCACGCCGCGCAGAAGTGCATATCCTTTTGAGATATCAATTATAATACATTTTAATAAAACACAAGACTACATTATATAACTCTAACAGTAGGCTATTTAATATCTGTTGTTCTCCGGTTGTCAGTTAGAATGACAGTTCTTGAGTGAACATAGGCCTATATATACCCAAGCCAATTTATTATTCTTTCCTTTTTGTCTTAGTGTTTAAAATATTTATTTTGAAATGAATGAATTAATGAATTTCTTAATTAAACAAACAGACTTACTGTGTGAGCAGGGTAGGCTATGACAGCTGTCATATCATACCCTGCCATGCCCAG